CCCCACGTCTTCCCATCATTCCTGCATCCAGCAAAACTGCAGGGAAAGGCAGTAGACAGCCTTGGGCAGTGAGACCCATGGTAATGCTGCCAGGGAGTGGTGCTTTAAGGAAAAAAAGCCTGTTATTTGGGCTATAACCTCTGTTTAATGTATTTTTAGGGTTTTTTTTAACTAGACCATGAAGTTGTATTTTTGCTTCTAGTGCTTAAATCCATCACTGTATAAGCAAAGCGCTGCACTGTCGTCAGCCAAGGCAGTGTGGAAACTCATTTTTCTATGAAATATATATATTTTTTCCTTTCAACAGTGGTTTTTTTCCCTTTAAAATATATGTTTAAAACCAAGCTCTAGGCTGGAAGCTGTCGGGTTTCTGATGTGCACAGCTCCCTATCCACCTCCATCCAAGGCACAAAGCTATAAACTGTGCGAGAACTCGGTTCAGCTGACAGTTTTACATAAATGAGCCCCCAAAAAGTTGTATTTTGGATTTTGATGCTTTTTGTTACTAAACCTTAGTCACAACAATAGAGACATCTCCGTGAGCAGCTCCCAAACAACCTGGAGCCATCAGGAAGGAAATGTCCAGCAAGGAGAGATGTGCTGAGCTCATCAGCTGGTGCCTCCCTTCTCCGCCACAAATGTACACCTGTAAAGATTTGGTCTATTATTTTTACAACCTTTTTTTCACTAAGCTCTATGCTGAAGGCAGGAAAGTCCTTTGTGTGGGCAATAAAGGGTCTTGGGGGGGGTTAATGCTTGCTGGGGATGTGTGACTGCTCCCAAACCAACACCTTAGGCAGTTCTCCCTGCAGCAGTGTGGGCAAACACTGGTGTTTCCCAATCCTATCCTTTCCCATCTCACTTCCCGTTTGATCTCTTTGCATGTCATGCCCTGCTGAAAAGCAAACAAATGTCAGAGCAATCGGCCCCAAGGCCACCTCGCCCGCAGCCAGTGTCAAAAATGCTTCTCTGGAGCCAACCACGTCCCCTGAGACCTGCCACAGCCATGTGTGGTCACCACATTTTGGGAAACATGTTGTGCTCGGGTAAAACCCCTGATTTTATTTTATCAGGAGGAAGGAGCTTGAAGCATGAGCAGCCCCAGAGCCAGGTGGTGAAGTCTTGGGGCTGAGCTGCTGTCTTCCAGCCAGCAGGAAGGATCAGCCCAAAAACTAAGCCAAGCACCTGAGTACTTTCCAACAATTTGACTAAACACTGAAATATGTGGTCTGTCTGCAGCAGGACTCCAGCGTGTGCTTCTGTGCTTCCTTAAGCCAGGGGGTTTAGGCTCGCGCTCGCAGGCAATGTTATTTATGCTCGAGGGTTTTGCTGCACCGGGAGAGGAATCTGGTCCCTGGCTCAGAGACCACAAATAGCTGAGCTCGCCCTGTCTGTCTGTCCATCCATCCTTTCTCCTTCCAAATGGAGCTGCTACCTCTACAGCAGCTCTGGCCAAGGAGATTGGGGTTTCCCAGAGCATGGGGTGATGCTGGGATGGATCCAGGCTGTGGTTGGCATTGCTTCTGCATCTCACATCCCATTTCAGTGGGCAGTGCCAGGCTCTGTGCCCATGGGTGATGCTGACCCATGTCTGTGCTTTCAGGTGGACTGGCTGCAGCAGCAGGAGGTGAAGCGGCGGGTGAAGAGGCAGGTCCGGGGAGAGCCACATGCCCTGCCCTTCAACGACCCAGTGTGGCCCAACATGTGGTACCTGGTGGGTATCTCCCCACCACTCATTTACGGGGGGTCATTTATTTTGAAGCAAATGCTTAGCCCAACCAGTAATGAAATAACCTTAGTATCAGGAAATGTTCTTGGCAGCAGGATTTTAAAACTGTGGATTAATACACTGAGAGTCTAGTTTGAAGTGTTTCACCCTTGTTAGCAGCCTCTCGTCATGGTCGTCGCTGAAAAGGCCTGGAAGCAGCACCACTGCATTTTTACCCATCCCAGAGGTGCAACCATCTATTTGCAATATCATTTTTCTCCTGCCTGCTTCATCGATCTGTATTTGACAGGGAAATTCATTGAAAATTAAGGGCGGAAAGAAAACGAGCACTTCAAACCCCAAGAGCCCACAGTATTTGAAATGGAAGGGGAAAAGAATAATAGGGAGATAGCATTGCCTGGATTAACTGCTGCTGGATGGGTTTGATCAGTGGAGTAAAGTTATAACAAATCTACCAGTTATATGGCAGGGGGTGGGTTGTAAATATATTTTCTGGTTGATTAAATGTGCTCCCAGCCTGGCTGTTTGCTTAGATGGGCTGGAATGGGGTTGCAGCCCTTTTGCAGCTGTGTTTCCCTCTGTAGCACTGTGGTGATAAAAACAGTCGGTGCAGGTCGGAGATGAACATCCTGGCAGCCTGGCAGAGGGGCTACACTGGCAAGAATGTGGTGGTTACCATCCTTGATGACGGCATAGAGAGGAACCACCCTGACCTCCTGCAGAATTATGTGAGCCTTGGGGTGGATGGGCTGGGGGTGGATGGGCTGGGACTGATCCTCACCATGAATTATGGAGAATTTCAGTGTATAAACACAGCTGAAGTCTGTGCATTGGCATATTTAGAGGAAAAGTTTTTTTTTAAGAAAGTTTGAGATGTTTGTAAGAAGGAAATGAGGTTTTTAGATAAGAAAGTTTGGGGGAAACTCCCTTTGCAGCTGCCTGGGAAGAAGCCTCCTCCCTCCACTCACCAGGGCAGAGCCAAAAATCTGCATGAACCTGCTCAGCCCCAGCTGAAACCCCACATGGCCACAATGGGGAGGAGGGTGGTGCTGGACCCCGCAGGACTGAGGGTTCAGAGGAGCAGTCCCTGAGGTAGCAGGATATTTCCCAGGGAAGCATGCATGACTTCAGCCTAAAACTTTATCTCGAGCAACAGTCAGAAACTAAGGGGAAAATTATTTTCGGCCCTGCTTGGCTCCATTGGCCATCACTTTGGCTGTTGGCCACCACAACCACCTGGTAAGTTAACTCTAATGGTGGCAACATATTTCCAGGACCCTCTTGCAAGCTATGATGTCAACGGGAATGACCATGACCCGACTCCACGCTACGATGCCAGCAATGAGAATAAGTACGTGATGCTATTTGCCATTTAGCCTGGGTCTACACGGCTGGGGTCTGTAGGGTCCTCAGGGCTGAGGGTCCCCCTGGGATGTCTTCCAGGTCCATGACCTTTCCACATCCCCAGTGCTGCAGAGGAGGCTGCAAAGAGGGCTTTGCACAGAGTCGTTATGTTTAATGCAAATTCAGCCAGTGCCAACCATGCTAATTGCATCCAGTGACATCACCAGGGGGTTCCTTGCCCTGGTTGGGGATTAAGCCACATGAGCCAGGATGGGTGGCTGAGATGGCAAAGCTTGGATGTGCTTTTTGTCTTCATTTAAGGTGGGATGGATATGTGTGGTAAAGAAACAGGAATGCAAACAGCAGATTGTGTTGATATGCAAGATGCAAAGAGGAAATTGCATTTAGGTACAAACTGCACAGAGCAAGTTGCATCAAGGTGTAAAATGCAAACAGCAAATCACTCTCTTCATTAGTTTCCTTCACCATTCAGCCCTTGCTGCCTTGCCATGAGTTTTGAATAAGGGCTCTCCATCTCCTGGGGCACTTTCTTCCACCATTCCAGCCTTGGAGCTGGTTTCTGAGTGCTGGGTGGGGAGTGACTGGGGGATCTTTGGCCCTGGACATCAGCTGATGGGGATTTCTCTTTGCAGGCATGGCACTCGCTGCGCAGGGGAAGTGGCGGCGGCAGCAAACAACTCGTACTGCATCGTGGGCATCGCCTACAACGCCCGCATTGGAGGTGAGGCTGGTGCCCCTGTGGCCTTCCCCAAGGGACTGTGGCCACCTGATGGGCTCTTGGGGTGGGTGGTGGGATACTGCTCCCCCAGATACTGCCTGGAGAGAGTGTCCTCCTGGGTGACTTGGCTGCAGGGAACCCCAGGGGCATTAGAGGAGAATGGGTGATGTGGGGTGCAGGAGACCTTGAATCTATGTATTTTTGGGGTGGAAATCTTCTGCTTGGGCTGCATCCTTGCTGTGAGAGTGCATCTCTCATCCTGTGGATTGTGGATGTGGTGGTTTCACTCCAAAAGCCCACAGCTGCTCTTGGGGTGTCTGTCCTTGGGGTGGCTGCATTTGCTATGGTCGGTGGTGATGGTCGAGCTGAAGTCTCTCGTTTGTGGGGTCAGTGTCTTCAGAGGAGCCACTCCGAGCAGCCACTCTGGAGACACTCCCAAAATACCCTCATAGGAAAAACACCAAGGAGGTGGGAGGCTGGGGCTGTGTATAGGGGGCAACTTTTGCACAGTCCCTCAAACAACGTGATGTACAGAAAGCAAATGAATCTTTATCATCAAACTGGATCCTGGTGGTAATTAGCATCGCTGAGTTCATGTGTATTAGCTAAGCTGGTTTGAGCTGGAACTGCTCTGGCCAACCCAGGCTGGTATAGAACCTCTGGGGAGATGAGGTCTTAGTTGGGGTGGGAGTGCAATGTTCTATCTACATGGCTGGTGGGAGAAATGGCTGGAGCTGGGTCCTTGTCCTCATCCTTGGCATGGCTGGAACAGAAGAGAGGCTTTTATTGCAGCCCTCCTACCCCCAGTGCAGGTAGATGTCACTGTTGTGAGCACAGACCCAAGTGCCCATGGGTGGATTTGAGGCTTAATTCCTTCTCTTGGCTTGTTCATCTTGGCTGTGCAGAAAACTGCTTTTGTGTTAGGGTTGTGTCTGCATAGGAGCAGCACCCACAGGGATCCTGCTCCTGGCCAAGCACATTCAGCAGTTGCCTGTGCTGGGAAAATCCCCAGAGGGAAGAAATCATGCCAGGGAGGGTGAATGGAGGACTAGTAATGGCTGTAAAGTCTGTGGCATGTCATCCCATCCCACCCCCTTTGCTCCCTGCAAGTGTGATGGCTTCTTTCTTCTTAGAGGCTTCTCGCCTCTTAAGAGAATCTATTTCCAAGCACACACCAAGCAGCAGCAGAGCAAGGCAAAGCCCCTGGTAGGGTTTAGGGCAGTTTTACATCCTGCATGATCAAACCATTCCTTTCGTGCTCCTTTTCAAGCCCATTTCTCTGCAGCAGCTGTGGAGACGAGCGTTACTTGTTGACTTTATGACGACCTATGGGTCTCATTTTAATTTGCTCCCTTTAACGAGTGCCTTGCCTCGGGGGTGTGCCGGGGAGGTGTTGAGTGAGACAAGGCACCTGGCAGAGGGCTGGGGGCCTGGGGCTTCCCACAACGTCAACAGGCAAAGGGGAAAAATAGAGTCTGAGCAGTATCAGGTTTGGGATCTTGGAGGAAAATACGCTATAGCTGCAGTGAGAGTGATTTTAGATGGATTACACAAATAAAGCAGCAATTAATGAGCACAACTTGTTGGGGAAGCCTATTTGTCACACTCTGAGAGCTCCCATCCAATTTTACTGGCTGCTCTTCAGTGCTCTTGCGTTGCTTTTCATTTGCTCTGGGCAAAACACATCACTGCTCAAGGAAAGGGCTCCTGCCATTCCTCCTCCTCTTCTCCCTTCTCCTCGAACACTCACTTTGGAGGTCGGTATTGCTCCTTGTGTGGCACAGAGCTCATTTACTTTGCTGCATCCATCCCTGCTCCCTCCTGCTCCCCGTTATTTCGCCAGGGGGGATATCCCACATTGTGGGTGGTTGACTTTGGGTTGTCTATAGGCTGGATTTGGGTTGACTTTGGGCTGATTTTGGGCTTGCTGAAGTACATGCTCTCGTTTAGCAAGCACAAACCCCATCCCTCAGCTGGTTTTGCTTGCTGCACAACAGCTGAGCACAGCTCAGACACCAGACGGCTTTTTGCCCCTTCTCCTGGCATTTTCTTGTTGACAAAGAGGAGTTTTTTGGGAATTGCTCTGCTCCCTGGTTTTACATTTCTAAGCTTGGTTTTGGCCGGTCAGGGACAGCATCAGAAAGATATTTGAGTTGACTGGTGTCCAGAGTGCAGCTGCAGCTGGAATGACATCTGCCTGCGTTTGTTTGCTTTAAGACAAAATACACGTGGAAGGGGAAATGCATTTTTATAAACTCGACTCTCCCTGGCTGACCAAATATGATGCTGAAATTTCCAGCATCTCTCTTCTTGCAAGGGCTGTTTCTGGGCCACCCTTTGCTTGCTATGCAGAGGGGAAATCCAGCAGTGAAAAGGTGACAGAGAGCAGAGAGCATTGTCCTCTCATACATATTACAGCAGTTGGAGCCTGGGGGTGAGTTGCAATCCCCAGCCTGTCCCACTGCAACTGGTGGGCTCTGCCTCCAAGCATCCCATCTGGAAGTGAGGTTATCCCAGGTGGCATTGTTGTCCCACTGTGGGTTGGGGTATTGGCTCTGATTTTGGCCATGAAAACTCCAGCCTGGGGCTTCTCCACCTCCGGAAAACCACTGGCATCAGTCGAGCAGTGATGGCCTTTGGGGACTGTCATAGTCATCCCCACTCAAGGGGAGTGGCTTCATCCCACCCATGTGCCTGAAGCTGGGGGGGGCATCAGGAAACACCATGATCTTCCAGGTGGAGAAATGCATTAGCTAATTAATTAATGGGGGGGAAAGGTTGTTAGTGGGGGGATTTTTCCACTGGGGAGTGCGGTCCCACTCCCATCACCCATCCCAACAATGGAGGGGAAGGGAATTTTAACCCCCTCTCTCCATCACTTGCCAGCAGCACAGAAAACTTCCCAAATAGCTCCCCAGCATCCTGCTGCCAGGCTCG